TCATAACTTTTTGGCAGGCGTTCTGTCTGAGAAGACTTCCATTATCCCTCTATGGGCCCAGTCTTAATTCTTGTACCTAGAATTCATTGTTTTTATTCAGGAGTCTTGGATAGATGAAGAATACAGGATTAGTTTGGATTAACTTTGATTTAGGAGTCTTGCTTGGGGAAATCAGTTGCATCTAATTTGCTCTGAAAAGACTTTCAAGCAAGGCCCATTGTTTAAATCGTGCTGGTAAAGCACATAAAGATGGAAAAGAAGCTTGCCTTTCCCTGAGCCTCAAGTTGAATGAGCTATTTTCAAAACTAGGAACCAGTTATTCAAAAACAAAATTAGGATCTTGCCCCAGTCTCAGATTTCAAAAGCTGTAACTATGTTGGATCATTTTTCAGCTAAATATTTGATTCTGTGGGTTAAGTTCTCAACAGGTCCTTTGTCATAAAGTTACCCATTCACTGGGGAGTCACAAATGTATATACTACTCATGACCTAACCTGTTTCTCTATATTTCTCCAGTTGATGTTCCGAGGCCTTATTCCTTTGAACAAAAGCGTGATGTGGCTGTCTGCATAGCTCATATTTTACTAGTCAGTTACTGGATTTGTCCATGTGCTGTTTTAACTCCAGCTTCTCAACATCTCCTATTTCCACCTACAATAAGTATCCAAAGCAGAATTATAATTAGAGATACTCTAAAATTTAAAGTTCTCTCTACAGTAGAGAGCAGGCAAGGCTGATACAGAGAGGTCACAAGATGGCACAACCTGGTTGAGGAACATGCAAAACAAAAAGCATCTTGGATTTTGACATTGTTACCACAATAAGGTACCAAAGTGATGACTTTCATAGTCTTTTTTAAGTTTAGTTTTTTGTTTTTTTTTTAAATCCTTGTAAGGTTAAATAGGATTTTATAAGAGGCAGGAGCACAACAGCATGTTACCTAACTTGCAAAATAAGCCAGGTCTCTTGAAGCCATCTAAGAAATGCATTGCAGAGGATGCATACATTTGTCATGTTGTAACAAATGACTTGGAAATTTAGTTGCAGTTTTTTTATCTAAAGATTGAGAAGTCAGCCCAATGTACTTGGGATGGGGAAGAGTCAATACCACAGTAGAAAGAGAATGTTGATAAAACAGGACGACACTGTGGTAGAAGTATTGGCCAAATCTATATTAAGTCCCATTTGAGACTAAAAACTATTCATGTGAACAAATAAAATACTAATTGTCTTCTTCCTTAAACATATTTTAAATGGAGATGAGGTTTACATAAGGAAACAATATTTATTATCCACTTATGCCAAAGCATATTTTAGCTGTGAACCAGTCTTCCAGCAGGTGTTAACAGAATTTTCAGTTGGTGTTGCCAGATCTGTGCATTCCTTGCTACCATTATGACTTTTTGGCTATGTCTATACTACAGGGTAGGTGTGTTTCCCTCCCCCCCCCTCCCCCAACCTGCTTGCATACAGCTATTTGTGCTAGTTCTTATTAAGCTAGCATGGGTGTAAATACCAGAGTAGCTGCAGTAGCACAGGTAGTGTCAGCAGAGGCATGGCTTGGCTGGGTCAAGTACAAACCTGCCTGAAACGGAGTATATACTCCCATGGCTAAGCCGTGCCTCCGCTGCTGCTACCCATGGTACTGTGGCTATGCTGGTATACTTGGGCTGGCTTAATGAGAGCTAGCACAAATATGTGTGCACTTCAAGGGATAAGTGTTTTCGAGTGTTGGCAGCTCTAAAGAGGGTTTACAACACTCCAGGCACAGAGTGAACTCTAATTGGTCTGGAACTGATAGAACACACATGGCTACTCAGCAGCAAGAACTTAAATATCTGTAATAATATTGACATCTGTAACCTATGCTTTGCTGTCAGAAAACTATTTAACCTACAGAAATCAGATTTATAGGAGAGTCTCTTAATACTTCATTTTTTTTTTCTATTGTACCCTCTAGCAACAAAATTGCTTGCTTGATTTTAGTGCCTATAATAACCCTTGATGATCAAAATTGCCAGCTAAATGAATGCATAAACTGAATATGGCCACTGCATCCAAAAGTTGGAGAAGTTGTGATGGTCACAACAGTTCAACCCAGACCAGTAAGGAGTTTTGTCATAACCTGCCCTGTAACCCTGGGTGCTTCTGTGTTGTGCATTTTTGATTCAGAACTCTGACATCCGCATGCTTGCAGCACAATAACCTCACCCTGGCTTCCACCAGACTGGTTATTCCTTGCAGGGTTGATATTCACACCCTCCCAATCCTGAGTTCTCCCCAAAAACAACTTTCTCTGCTGAGTCCTTCTGACTGTGGCACCCACAGAACATTATCAAGTTTGCTGCTTTAAAGAGAGAGCACACAGCAGCTTATTAACTTAGTGAGATGATTAAACCACCTACTTCCATCAAACAACTGAGTTGGCTTATGGTAAAAGTTAAAACAAGTTCCTTAACAAAAGGATGTACGC